ATATTAAAACAAGCTGTACAATCAGGTCAGATAAAGTGGATAGAAAAGTAAGACATTACAAACTCACACCTAGGGCTTACCATCCCCCAGACCTAATTGGCTTCCATCTTCTGAAGGACACTCCTACGTTATCCCGCTTATCCCTGTTACTCTTCCTCTTACATCCTCGCTTTCCTCCTCTAGATGTTTTTCCCGATGCATGCACCCTTGAACCAGCCGCACCATATTGGAGCCAGCTCTCTTTTCCGTCAACATCCCTTTTAGCTCGTGCACCTATCTGCAGAAAAGAAGACAAATCCGGAACCGGAATTATTGGGCGCAAGTCTCGAACCCGAGTACTATTCCAAGACTTCAACCCAATATACAGCCAAGGATTCTTTCTGCGTCTGCGAATATCCTCCTTCTGCCTTGTTCAATAGACGATAGATGCAGAAAATCGGTCATCCGTCCTGTTTGAGGACGCTACCAATGCCAACACCTGATGCATCGGTGATCAAAGTTGGATGTTTTTTCGGAGAGAACGAGGTGAGTACTGGTCGGTCAGCTATCATCTGAATGATTTTACGCAGAATTTCTTCACAACCGGCAGTCCATTTCCATTCTGCAGTCGACTGAGCAGCGAACAGCGGTTGAGCTTTGTTGGCGAAGTTCGGGATGAAACGCGAATAATAATGGAGACATCCCATGATGAACCTGAGTTGGTGTTGGTCTCTCGGTGATTCGAGTTCAGTAAATGGACGGAAGTGACTTGTATCAAGATGGTAGCCTTTTGCATCTACTGTGAAGCCCAAGAATTTCAATTCTGGTGAACTAAACATGCATTTGGAAGTGCGAATTGATACATTCTCTTGGGCGAAACGCTCCAGTAGTTTGCAGAATCTATCGTCGTGCTCGGCTTTCGTTGTACCAAACACAATGACGTCGCCCCGATACGCTAACACACTATGACTTCTTAAATATCCGCCTGAAATATGCCTGAAGAAGCGTGGAGACCAAACGGTAGGAAGTGGTTTTGATATAACCCTCAAGGTGTGTTGATGATGGTGAATTGCCGGCATGCTAGAGCGGGAGGAATCTTGAGGTACGCATCGGCCAAGTCAATCTTCGAGAAGCATGTACTGCCGTGCAATGCTTTCATGAAATCCTCCGGTTCCATGGTGGTAGCTGCACACTTTCGTAACCGCGGGTTGAGAGTCAATCGGTAATCGCCACAAATTCTCGGTGTTTTGCCGTCACTTTGATCGCGATCACTATTGGCTTTGCTCACGCACTGGATGTGACTCGGGTGATTATGCCGTCGCGCTCCATTTTCTCAAGGGCCTTCCACACTTCTCCACGTTGGCCATAGGGGAGTACACTTCGTTTCAGGAAAACAGGCTATCCGTCAACTTCCAGTCTGGCCGGCTGCACGTTCATGCCTCCGGTATTGTTTGAACATTTCACGATTAGGCGCTGTAGACGAGTGTGCAGATTGGACATAGAGCTTGTATGGAGCGACACTGAATGGTTCCATGCATGAATAGCGGTTAACTCAAGTATGGATGGACTATTTTTGGCAGTTGATAAGCAAATGGGAAAAAGGCCGTTTTCTGTGGAATGTACCATCAACGAAACCTCACCAATCAATGGCAATTTGTGTTCAGTCACACCAAGAATTCGCACAGATGTCGGACGGATTTCGGCTTGGGGACAGATTGACCGAAGCACTGCAGTGAAATGATAGATTCCATGCTTCCCTTGTCAACAATGAATTTGTGCTTTGGGCCGGACTGTAGTACAGGAATTGGGTGCAATGGCTTTCGGATCGTAGAGAGAGCACAAGGTTTGTGTCATTCGAGGCCTTTGGCTGTACAAGATTGCAACGGGGCTGTTTACCCACTCTCCGAATGTGGCCAGTTTTCCCGCATGAATGACACTTGGCATTTCGGAAGCGGCAATTGGAGCGCAGATGGAAATATTCACATGACAAACACGGATTGATACGTTTATGTTATGGTTCGTACTCGGACTAGTAATTCGTATACGTATCGGATTACTCACAGTAATAGTTCAACCCAGAACTAGGATTCGGAATGAAATCAGAAGACAGAACTCAGCGACGGAATGGAACTGTAATGAGCGGAAATTCGGAATGTACAAGAATATTGTGTTCAATAAAACAAAAGGGTTCACTGCTCATGAGCAATCACCACAGTGTATCGTTGACTGAAGAGTCTTGCGGCGACTTCGATATACACTTGACCATTGGAGGTCGGTTCGTTCGTGTTTTCTGCCACTGAAATAATGTGACTGCTTTGCTGGAAGTGGTTTTCATCAGGTCATCGTGTTGCTCACAGATCTTGCGGGCCTCGGCAAAAGTTAAATCCTTCTTTGGGGAGTCAAATTTTTTAATGCCTGCCACCAAGCGATCACACATTTGTTCTCCCAGGCGATCACCATAGTTGCAGCGTGATGCTTGTTTGTTCAGCTGCAGGATAAAGTCACGGTAGGAAACATGATCAGCACGAATCATGAAGTTGAATTTGGCTCTTTCGTGTGTTTGGAACTGAGTGGGCCGCAGGGGGTTGAGCAGCAGCGACTTCAAGGACTCGTATGGTAGTTTAGCCCGAGATTCCAGGAACTCAAGGTTCTTCAACAAGGAGTAGAGGTCACGGCTACCAGCAGTAAGCGATAAGGCTGATTTATTATGTGCACCACGTTTGCGAATACTGCACCACAGCTCACATCGCTCGACTCATTACTTGATCTCAAATAGGCTTCCCTGCAGGTTCAGTTGTTCAATCGTTGGAAGCTCCATCAAGCGGAGGTAATTTGTAATGATTGCAGTAATTGTAGTACGCACGAAATTTGGAA